ARWRTAGTCATTAATCCCGAAAATTATTTACAAAACGCAGGGTCKACATATCCTGTATTCACCTACCTTTAAGAACATCTGAACATGCAAACCCCTCATTATCCTACCGTAGGTGTACATTGTACGGCGTTATTACAAAGATATCTATAGGTATATGTGATGATTTTACGTGATAACTCTAGTTTCTAACACCACTATTTTACAATTTTATCTAATTAATTCAAAAATGACTTTTTACTTCGTGGACACCTTCGCATTACGGGAATGTGTGTAAGCTGATAGAGTCCTATACTTTTTAACATGTTCCTTTGTCGTCGTTTGTCGAGGTCCAGGATTTTAAGGGAATCCAATATGGCCGACAGTTGTAGTGTTCACTTGAATATATACCTGGAAGTTTTAATTTTTATGGTCCCTTACGTTAAGCCATTTTGCTCCCTTATAAACTATAACATTCAATCCTCTTGCACTCATACTATATATATATATATATAAACGCCTGGTGAGATTGACGCTCAATGACGTGCAAGCTAATGTTGTATGCTTAGTAMATCACATGACTGGATTTTCTGGTGCCAATTTAAAGCACCTGTTGGTTTAGGTGTATTTTCCAGAATTTGGGATAGCAGTGCCATAATGGCCCTCTTGCGATAGCGACCCTCTTTCAACGGCCGGTTTCGTTATTGTTTGTGTATTTTATGCATTTGTCTCCACTTTCTGTCTTTTTAAAAGTTGATTGTCAGCAATAAATAAATTTTGAAGTTACAGTGACTGATTATACTCARCTAGGTGATGAGTCTGACAATAATGGACAGCGGAGCTTCACATGAACCCTGAGAAAAATTTCGCATAAACGTTTGTTGATATAACTTCCCATATAGTTCCCTCTGTTTACATCAAAGAAACAAAATCAAGCCCATGAAACAAATAGCTTTACTCGTCGAAATCATCTTCGTCGTGATTYCCGCTTTCATTCAAAAAATCTCTACTCTCAGATGTAGCTCTTGGCTTGAGCCTGCAATCCAATGTCAGCGTGACACACTGGAACTCATCGAAGAAGGTGACGCTGAACAAACCAAAGCAAAAAGCTGACAACCATTCGCCTATGTTGCTAAGGACGTGGATAGAGTATCCAGGGTCTTCGGGTTGCCAGTGGGCGACGGTGTGCTCGTTCTGCTGTCGGAACATATCGTAGGCGACAATCTCAGCGATGAAAAATATCGACCCAAATACGGTAATGATGCAAGTGAGAATGAGCCGAGCAGCGAAGATTGGGACTGGGTTACAACCTAATAGAMTCATTTTGTAGGTTAAACCGGTTTGAAGCCAGCAGTACACGGCACCAAAGCCAAACAACAGAACGGCACCAGTATCGTGGAAATACACCATGTTACTCTCCTATAGCAAAAACAGCCTTGATGTTATTACAAAACAACAATATATAAACTAGTYCAGTTTAGACAGGTTGTGTATGCTATTACCAGTAGATACAGTACAATATTTGGCAAAGGGACGCGCAAGTCTTATATACAATTTTGGTTACTCAATTAACGAAATATTGTACAAAATATTGTTACTTTTCAWAAATGTTCTTGTGGTGGCGAGATATTGTGAAAGTAAATATGAAAACTCGGGATCGTGGTTTTAAGGATGACGCCAAACTGTGGTACCGTGTTTGGTTGGTTTTGTAAAATTACATTTTCAGTCAATTACGGCGTTGGCTATTAGTTCATGGTTTATTTATACGAATATGAAAATGATTCTGTGTTGTACTATCTTCCCAAACTGTATCAATATACTAAAAAGATCTAAAAAAAAAACACATTTATTTTGTCATCACTTGAGACTTGCAAGGCGTAAAAAATTCCACCATGATCAAAGAGAGATCTAACTGGCTGCTGTCGTTAACAAAATCGGTTTAAATAAAACCAACCGTCTGTTTGGTTTATTGGTCGATTGATTGAACGAAATCATCATGGAYTGAACAGTTTGATTGTTCAAATAAAGTCAGTTAAAAATGTCTACTATTTCCGATTATTGAAATAAAATCTATTGTAGTTTTAGCAGGATATTTTCCACCTTTCTTATTAAGCTCAGAATGGAACRAACCTAACCAAAAAGGAAAGTTTTATTGACCAATATTATTATTTTTTAGGCAATGCGGTTTCCCAACTCCAATTTTTTTCGCAGATGCGCAAACATGTCATTTGCACATTTCAAWGTCTTTTCAATTGTATATACTAATATATATTAAGAAATTACATCGAAATCATTAACTAAAATTATGTACAATTTTACAAACCTCTTGAGAGGGGAAGTTTGCAATTATAGTTCCACCAAATACTGCTACCATTCCAAAGCACAAGGCCAGCTTGTTAAAGCGCTCRAGAAGAGGATCAGACGAGATGAATGGCTTGCTAACTATCTTGAATTGAAGAAAGCGCAAAAACATATTCACCGCTAATAAAAGACACGAGAAGTTAAACAGTTCCACCAATGATGAACTAAGCTATACAGTCATCCAATAGAAGAGGATCAGACGAGATGAATGGCTTGCTAACTATCTTGAATTGAAGAAAGCGCAAAAACATATTCACCGCTAATAAAAGACACGAGAAGTTAAACAGTTCCGAAAAAATATTGGCTTCGGGTACTTGTGCCCCTGTGTCACTTATAGCAGGAACCAGAGGATAGATATGGTCTAGTTTTACAGCGACCGTGTAACATAAAGCAAAGGTRAAGCAGGTGAATGTACACCAAAAGATCGGAAGCCATCCACAACCCAAAGACCGATCTTTGAAGAACATCATCTCGGCTGCCTTTTACTCTAACTTAAATTTCATGGAGGAATTAAAAAAATCATATGTCCTAACGGGAATCACTGATAKTTGGCTTGAATTCATTTACCGGAATTCCTCCTCGGCGATGAATGCATAACATCTGCATATACAGACATCGTATGAATAATAATAAAACTATAGTGGATTTGATTGGCTGACAGCAAAACCAAGCCGAAAATTATGAATAAAATCAAAAACTTGGATTTACAGAATATAGAAAGTATTCGTCGGATATTCCAAATTCTTACCAACAGAGAACCAACCCAACATTTCGATTTACAAAATGCGATCTGATGTCTTGGATTTTTTGGAATTTGGGTGTGGGAAGAGAAATGTCCAAATGAAAATGCAAAAGAGGGCTTACTTTAAATTATTAATCATTTCAAAATATTTCTATTCTAAATCTACAATTCGGTGATTCTTAGTAAGGTAATTCTATAAAGACATATTGAATCAAACTGAGACATATGTATTATAATTGTATTTATAGGTTTTTTCTTTTATAGGTTTTTCATCATTTTGTTAGTTTTTCACCATCTTATGATCTGATTMACTTTATTCATAAATCTAATAATTTATATAATTCGTTCATAATTTGTTATGAATTTACAAGCGAGAGAGTAATCTTATTGGACATAAGTCTTGTAAAATACTGACAGATTTTCCAGAACAGTTCACCGAGCATACCGCTGAGCAAGTTACTGYCGCTACTCGTTATATCTTAGTTCATCCCAATTTATCCTGGTTCCAGAGGTTTTGATGTTTTTTTAGTATTTATCGTGTTTTTCTGCGTCGCTAAATTTAAAATACAAGCAAAAATACGATAAATACTTAAAAACATCTATAAAAAGAAGAGAAAACCCTTGGAACCAATTTAATCCATACATTTAAAAACGTTTAATTGAAGATAATTCCATGCGCTGTAAATTGCTTTAACTGGCAACCTCTTTACGGGGACTGCGTAACTACTGTAGATCCCATCGTCAAAACAGCAAACATTCCCATGTACCCCTTTGAAAGGGGTACATGGGCATGTTTGCTGTTTTGACGATGGGACGATAGGGCCCGCTCAGTGCCGCTTAGTGCCGCTTGTTGAACAAAGACCCTGAAAGGATCTGACCCCAAATAAGGTATACAATTTACCTTCAGGTGTCTTGTTCTTGAACAGGGGTGTACTTTCTATGTGGGTATCGATATTTCGGACATAATCTTAGGAAAACGTACCAACCCCGGCACAGCGCAATCAAAACAGGAGAAATTTCTTTTGGCATAAAAATACCTGATTTTCTCTCTCGGGGAAATAGATTTGCTTCAAAACGGTTTCTTTATCGTGAAAAAAAAATTGTACCACGATTGCCCTTATAGCATATGTCGTGGCRAAAAACTGTTACAAAATCTGTCGGCAACTTTAAGATCGCATAAATAATAAAGTCTATTTTTCAGTATCAAAGTGAACTTTGATTCTAAAATTTGAGTCCGGATTTATTGACAAAACTCTCTGAAACCTCTTCAGCAAAGGTCAAAACCGTTTTTCAACTTCGTAAAACGAGGTCAACCGGTTTATCARAACACCCACGCTTGATAAATACCAGCTTGAAGTGGTCCAAGTATTGCCGGACAACAACCTCTTGGGAACCTATGCAATTTACCCAAAATATTCCAGTCCTGGCGACCTGTGGCTGCTTCGTCCAGTCATAATGAGAAACGGATGCATTGAACACTACAAGCTGTCAATCATTGACTAGACAATAGAGTCAGCCAATCAGCAAGTATTCAAGATAAATTGAAAGACTCCGAATAAACATTCTCAAGATCGTTTATTAGYTGTGACGAGGCCTTATCGACAGCTCGAACACACTTTAATATACATATGCTACTAATGTAAGTATATAACCTCTGGAAATACCTCTTGAATGAAGCTCTTTGWGAAACTGATAAAACAAGGTGGAAAGCGAAAGTCATATGGTACATCCGGTGTTCGCGATGATGAAGTCCAGCTAGGTTACTATTACACGCAAAGCAAGCCAGAAATGACTCCAGTTGGAAATTGACGATTTCGTGTATTAATTTATCCAGGCTTACTGGTGAGCAAAGCAGTTTGCACAATCTGAAGGTAGGATTAGTCAGTTATAAATTGCCTATATAGGGTTGAATTATTCAGRACATAACCCCTATATATGATGTACGGGACCAATAACCTTGAGATTTAGTAAAAGCCAATAACATTTCTTTTTTGTGGATCTAAGTTTATACAAATTCAGAACAAATTAGCGAATGTTTATCCACTCATTACAATAGGAATGCTGTTCATGTTTAGAATATCATTGAATGGTAACGGCTTCACGTGACTAATTGTCAATTACTCAATCGTGAATCAATGCTCGTCAAAACACTTTCAAACTATGCTAAAACATGGACAGATACTTGTATGTTTACCATAACTTTGAGTTAATGATTTAAAACTGCTGATAATCCATGAATGTWAGGTTTGTTGTAGTAACAGTAGAGGTATGAGGTCCACGAGCTATTGTTGTGTATTGTASTGGTGATCCTTTGAAATGGCGCCTTACACATTTAGCTGAACAAAGCTCTTTTCTATGAATGGCCATAAACTTGATGGCCTTCGAATCTAWAACGACAGAAGATCGGTTTATGAGTCAATTAAAGCAATTAAGATGTAACTTTTAATTGCGGCAAATAAACCGCAATTATGTTGATAGAAAATCATGCACCACTTCTGAGGTTTTTATTGCAAAATCTTTTTTCCAAGATTTTTTGTGCCAATGCAGCAAAGTGATAACAAATTTGTGAAAATGATTCCTGGTCAAGTTCACTTGAYCCTATTATTCTTAAACTTTTATAAGCTTTTTCATAGTTCACAAAAATCTACAAAATGTGCAGTCGAAAACGATTGCTGGAAATGTTTTCCTGGTCAAGAGATTGTCAAATAACAAACGAATTAAAAGTATGAATAAATGGCATCATTCGCGTCACTTGGAAATTCATTTAATTTTTTTCACACCTCAGTTTTATAATGGTAAATTGAATGTGGTATTGTAACAGTGAATGTTAACTTCGGCTTAGCCTCGCCAACGAGGGTACCGTGCTGTACTGTTATGTGTTACAGTGCAGGGAAGAATGATACAGCATCTTTTTGCTTTGACCAGTGATTACAGTGACCGGCAACGTTGTTATTCTTTGAGAAAATCGYGTCAGTTTTGTTTGATAGCACATTCCATTTTACAGTTCCCAGCGGTAACTTGTAAGGTAGCCCGGAACCTTTGCATCAAAGTGATAGATACGTCATTATTCTAGCACCTAGGACAATTCACAGGAATATGTCATTGCAACCTCGACCATTGTTTCGCTTTGATCACAAAGACTACGTTACGTTTCAAGATGCATTTTAAACTATAGACAAAATGGAACGCTTGCAATCAGTCCAGTATTAAAAGGTATAACTGATGAGGTTTTTGTGATAGATATATATAGAGCAGTGTTTAGTCGAGTGTTATCAGCTGAGGCCGGAAGCCCGATGTTTTGACCGCTYCCCGAGACCTTGATTATTTTAGAACCAAATTAAATAGATGTTTTATGTTTGCATTATACGACCAAGAAGATAATGACGTTGTATTTTACAAAACTGTGCAAAAGAAAATTGCTGCGCGCGAAATCTAGAGCATTATTATTTTCCAATAAGTAACTAGTCACGTGATTAACTAACAGGTGACTTGATTTCTGAAATAAACTGAACATTATCCTTGAAATAGAGCAAAGRAAGTGATACAGTACTTATATTAACATGAATTAATGGAAAAAAGATCCGAGAAAATCAATTCGCGCGCAACYTACAGATTAMCAGCAGTGATTAACCAATGACCATTCACTTACTCTATGGGTTGCCTGACTTATGAAATAAACTGTACTCCATCRGCCAATCAGATCAAAGAACAATTTACAATAACTGTAATAGATCAGACCTTGACGATGCTCAATTCCATTAACTAACCGCAATKTAAGATTCACTTGCTTTAATTTTGTGTGCAGTTTTCAGTGGACTATATAAAATCATAGTTTATTACTTGCATTACATTTATTTATTTGAGAACTCAATTTGTAAACGTCAATACCTGCGGGTAATTTCCCTTCACAATAAGAACTTTTGTTTATTCTCTAATCGATAATATTATTTGCACATATTTTGGAAAACAGAGCGCAGGTTTCTCAAATCGCAGCCTTCCAACATCTGTTAATTCAACGCATAATATCTTTTCTTTTTTTGGAAGCACAGTTTTTGACTTCCTCTAAAATGATACTAGATCCTTCTAAGATAATTTGGATGTAAATGGTTTCATCGTCTGATTGTCTTGCGAATTGGCATTCAACATGAGATCTATGACAGGTGTACTGAGTGATTTCTCCCGGGGTAATTGTGCATGCTATTTCTATATTATCGGYTGAATGTATTGAAATATTAATCGTAACTGTGTGTGTGCAACCAATATTCGCTGAAAACAAAATATTTTTGTCCGTTGCGGCTGAATGCGAGAATCGACAAGTTCCACTTCTTAAATTACCAAAAAAGGATCAGGTTTTTGTCAAACGAACGCTCGAACGCCCTGCTGACTCTACGGACTCTAGTGGCAAAGTCTGAACTGTATTCAAGAATTTTACAACGAAGTTAGTTCGTTCGACAATGAGAGACGACAAGGCTGAGCAGAGTTCTGGTTGTCTTCCATTCAAGGCGGCTAGTGCGTTGTTTGAACCACCGGTCAAGAGATCAAGAAGACGATATCTCATGAAACAGCGAATGAAAGAATGGGAAGGTGCTAAACTTTTGACCATGGTAAGATCAGAGTCACATGTTGGGAACTCTAGAGAGTTTGTCTAGTCACAATATCAGGTCTTTTGCTACTTTTTAAATCATTGATCATGACTTTTGTTTCCTCGATTGGTTTTAGTTATTTATCTATTTATTTTTTTGCTTTTTTTTCTCTGCTGTTGTTTGAGTTTATAACCCAAACCGCCAGAACCGCAGATARCTACATACAATTACTGAAAAATATATTGGATAGCAATATTGATCGTAAATCAGTCACGAT